TGAGTTCCAGACAAGTACTGTAGCATCCTGTATCGGACCGCAATCACAGCATAAGGGATTTTTTTTTTTTTTTTTTAATCTCCTGTTCGTGGATAGACGAGGGCCCTGACTGAACTGCATAGGGCCGAGTTTCAACTGCAATTGAAACTTGCTCCGAGTCTCAACTGCAATTGAAACTCGGGCCCTTTAGCAGTTTCGAATGCAATTACAAACTGTTTTGGTGACTGCGCCGAAGTTACCCCTTTTGTTTTTTTGCCTCCTTGCTACCACGAGTTTCCAGATAGCACACCACCAGGACATCGTGCAGTCCTTTTGCCCCGTTTCCATGGGGCCACCAGCTCCCTCCCCCATTGCCATGCCAAGCCTTTGCCGAGGCACGGGAAACGCGTAGCGTTAATGCTAAGGGCCCGTGGCCGATGTATGGGCCAAGTACTGGTGGTTTAACCCAACCAAGTCTCATCACAACGGTGCCACCATCTCCGTTGCTGCTATGCCCTAATCCCATCCTGCCAGCTAGCCCCATCGCCAGCAAGTTGCGTCGTATCCCTCCTTCTGTTACCTCACCCCTACCTATGCTTACCCCAACATGGAGGGGAGAGTTAGAGAAAAGAACCCCGATACCCCATCCAAGTGAGTCTCTCCACATCCAGTGCGAAAAAAGCTACCAGTACACTTATGAATTTTCCCCGTAATAGTATAATGACAACTAGCTAAGTGCCTGCGGTACGGGCTACGCCTGCAGAAATGACAAATGCAGTGGGTGACCTCACACTGCATTTCGGATGGCTCGCCTCCAAGATGTCCGCAGAAACAACGACGGCCTACCAGGGGACACAAAACGACAGTCATCCGAGGTGGCCACATTCGTTTCCAGGTGCATCCACAATATGTCCCCCACTTTTCGAGTGGTCTACACACTGTGGATGCAGTCGGGCATATGATCGTGGCAAGCATTCATTACATTTCCTCGCTGGTCCGAGAGGCACCTGAACTGCTTTCAGAAGCAAATACATCCATTCCAGTGTGGAGGCAAGCATGGGACAAGCGCACACTCAGGAGGGGAATCGAGCTGTAGTCCACCCCTTCGAACGAGCGGAGCCGGGGGACTGAGTCCACGGGGGAAACTGATCACTTGATCCAGTGAAACCCCACCAAATAGGTAAGATAACTCAAAGCAAGTAGAGTCAGTGAGCCGTGTAATGGGCAACTATTTCGCACGGTTCGGAAGGCACTTCAGTAAGTTTGTGCAAATCAGATTTAAGTTTTGACCCCTATCCCTTTTGATGATGCCAGAAGTCGTATACCCCTATCCCTTTTGATGATGCCAGAAGTCGTTTTGATATACGATTTTACCTTGTGTCTATTTTATTTCTTATTTTTGGGGCGACCGAACAACGGCCTACCAGGGGACACAAAACGACAGTCATCCGAGGTGACCACATTCGTTTCCAGGTGCATCCACACTATGTCCCCCACTTTTTGAGTGGTCTATACACTGTGGATGCAGTCGGGCATGATCGTGGCAAGCATTCATTACATTTCCTCGCTGGTCCGAGAGGCACCTGAACTGCTTTCAGAAGCAAATGCATCCATTCCAATGTAGAGGCAAGCATGGGACAAGCGCACACTTAGGAGGGGAATCGAGTTGTAGTCCACCCCTTCGAACGAGCGGAGCCGGGGGACTGACGCAAGAGAGGCGGAGGTGGGTGGAAGACATGCAGAGGAAATATGAAATCACATCGGGGAGGGTGGCAGCCTGATATGGAAATAATGCTCTTTGTCCGAAAGGTCGTGATCCAAGCAAAAGACAGAGTCATCCAGAGGGATGCAGACAAAAAAAACCTGCCAACATGTGACTGCTCCACATGATCACCAATTTATCCCAAAGCACACACTTCCAATTGATAGAGCGCCAATATCTTCCTCATTGTTTTTTCGTTCATTTTTGCAAGTTAATTCATAAAAAAAACCGTTGTATTCAGTAAAATCCGTTGCCCCGTGCCCCCCACGGGACGTTGACATATGGGGCATCGAATAGTGTGAATGCGATTTTAGGGATTGTTTGTCACTGCACCTTGACCCCGTTACTGCAAATTTGGAGAAATAGGTCTTAGTGTGATTGTACCCTAAGACCGGTACGCAACAGAGCTAAAGTAGTGGGCTGGGACAACGACGTTGAGATATCATCCTCACGATCGTGGAGACTCCTGGGGGGCCGACCAATGGCAATGTGGCAGCGCTCGCTCTCTCGCCCGCCGTACGATACCACTGCCTGTCCAATAGCAGCTTCGCACCGTGGG